AGAGTTAGCAGAAAGAACAAAAATATAATTATTATATGATTAATATGTATTCAAAGTATATTTATTATATACTATTTAAATCATATAATAATAATATTGTTAATATATAATAAATATATTGTAAACATATTTAGCAAAATCATTAAAGAACAGTTGTAGGCGTTCTCAAAGTATAGTACATATAACCAGAATCAGTGTTCGAAAATTAGTGTTCTCGAAGTTCTTATGAGAACACTACTATAAATTTGTGCACAGTATAAATTTTTTACTGTTTGCTATTGAGAACAGTAAAATAATAATGTTGTAATATAACTATCATTATTGTATTAATATAAGGAAAATTAAGAAAAATTTATTTAATTATAATATGTTCTTTGTATTCTTTATTATATGTCAACAATTTTTTAAAGATTTGAAGTGAAAAAAAAAAATGAAAGCTAAGATTAATATTACGCTGTAATTTGCATTATTTTATAATACTTAATACAACAATGTTTATATTCACCAATCAAAATTATTTAAATTTCCATCGTAAAATATGAAAATTTACAAGTTTCATTATAGCACATATATATTTTGTATCTAAATATTGGATTCGCCTTACTTCACCAACAGCCATTTCACCGACAACTCATTTGCTGAATCACACAACTAACCCTAACCCTATGATGTCAGATAAATGAACTTTCAGTGAAATGACTGTCACAGCACCGCTAAATATGATACTAGATCTAATACAATGTAATGTATATATATAAAGCATTATCACGTAATGTAGTGTTATATTATATTATATATTTACAGTATTAACTGATATATTTTATCGAAAAACATATAAACACGTGATATGTATTATGTACGCATAGTGTACAAATAGAAATCGTCTATTTATTATTTATATAAATATAAATTTTTATGTAAATTTTATTTATATCTATATACCTAAAAATAATTTAACTTACTTTAGAGATTTCTCAAAAGTGACTAAGGTAATCAGCATTCGATATACTAAGTAAAATATTCAGCATGCCCGAAAACCTTTTCCTACACAGGTTGAAAGATGGCAAACCAAGCACAAATCAGGTACCAGATTTGTGCCTGGTTTGCCATCTTTCGACCTGTGCTAATTCTAGCTTTAAATTTCAAATTAAAAATTTTACATAAATTCTATATAGAAATACTGTATATAAACTTATATGAAGATTTTTACTACAAATAATTGGTGGTGATCATCGCCGCTCTTATTTTAGGTTAGGGTGTAGTTTGGAATGTATAGGAGGGTTATATAATAGTTCAAATTTTAGTTAGCGTTTGGTTTTTGGAGGTTCTGCTTAGTATCCCTGACATGAATCAGCTAGTAGAACCCCGGTGATAATTACTACCTATTATAGTTAGTAATAAATAATTATGTAAATCTATAAGTTTAAATAAAAATTCCACATAACTTTATGTAAAAATGTTACATAGATCTATGTAAAAATGTATTTGTGATAACAGTCGTACTCCTCCATGATCACTCAATTTGTTTTATGCAAAAAAAGTGGTTATAAAAATTTATTATTATGTGTTTATGTAAAAGTATTTTTTATAAATTTATTAATGAGTATTTTCAAATTTAAGATGATTATATAGGTGATTATAGACTGTATTCAATAAATTTTTCACGGTTCCAATCCCTATTAATAATCACCAAATCAAAAAATTTTATCCATATGAATTGTTGGGCATATACTTTTGACAATATAGAAGAACATCAAAATTTCACACAAATTAAAATATACATTTATTCATCATAAAGACGACCCTCTTCACCAATCCACAACATCGAAAAATAACCAGCTGCAATATTATACAAATGATTTAAATTATACGCTGTCGCTTCTCGGATGAATAGGTCAAACAGGGGCACCATTAACTTATATAGATATATACAAGTTGGTTTTTCCCTACAAAAAAGGTAGTAAGCCCTGATGTAAGCCTCAAAGGAGTCAGCGTGCAACTTTTTAATTGTTTGAAATCTCATATTATTCAATTTAGGCAAACCGAGCGTTACTGCATAGGCTGCTAAAATTTTGTTTGTGGCCATTGCCGTAACGGCCCACTGGATTACTTCCACAGAATAATCGAGAAGGTACCTACCTCGAGCAATTTTTGAGAGACAGTGCTCGAGAACACTGTCTTCTAAGTACTCGAACTGCTCCCACTGTAGTCTATGTTCTTTGAATCCAATGGCTATATCAGCCAAGTGTCGAACCTCGATGAGAGGAAGCTTCTCAAGGTCGGTCTTTGTTGGTGAAGCTTTAATGATTAAAAAGTATTAAATTAATTTTAATTATTTGTGAAACCTGATTATATTTTTTATTTTACATAATTGTGGAGCTATTTTTGATTTTTTCTTTCCTCCTTCATTATTTTTGCTATTCTAGTTATATAAATATCATGTGATAATTATAAATGGCAAAATTCAAGTTTTTGCTAAGAGATTAATTAATTAATAGTGAATTATATTTTGTTGCCAATAAATATGTATTATTAAATTCTTTTTTTTTTTTTTAATATTGAGGTGACCACTTAGGCCCCTGGCACTTTATTAGTTCAAACGGGTGG